GTAACTACAATTTTCTACCCACATTGCAAGCACTCCGCCACGTTTATGTGTGTATATGTATGTATCTGAGGCGGGAATAATGTGAACTTGCATAACACTTAACTATATATATATATATATATATATATGGAATATGACTGCATATTTACATACCACACATATATTAATGTAGAAACTTTTACACAACTATGCATATACACACATACATATGTATGTATGTATGCGCTAGATATACACATTAATACATGCTTGCCAGCCAGCATCTGCAACATTTTCCCACATTTCCACCATTTAGCCTATAAATTATGCTGCAAATTTTATTGGCATGAAAAGTTGGTAGCAAGGATAAGGCTACATGCCAAGTACAACAATATAAACTCATCATGCGCCTTTGGTATGTCTGTGTAAAAGTTTTCCGAACTAAATAAATGTACCATCTCGTAACATTGAAAGCTATGCTGTATTGTCTTTGCAACAAAACAATGGCTGTCTGTGATTCTTAGATGCCTTCACATGCCCGTAGGCATAGAGAAAACTGCATATTGCATACATATAGGTATACATATGTATGTATGTAAATAGCTATACATATGTATACAAACGCACTTGCTGCATATTTTAGCCTACAGCAAATATAGATATTTGCGTAGGCCGTCAGTTGAGTTGTTGCTTTCAGTCGCTGCTTCAAGTTGGCATGGCTTATAAACATCCACATACATACTACATACATACATATACATATATTATAATAAAAGATTATATCTCAGCTAGGCAGCATAATTGCAAAATATTGGTCTTTCTGCTGCAATAACTTGGGTTCTTCAAGAATTGGAGCATGTAATTTTAGCTGAAAGTTCTTGGAATGCTTACGTATTCATATTTGTAAGTAAGCTTAAGAATTACAAAAATTCTTGCAATTATTTATTTATTTTATGAAGCGCTACGTTGCAAGTGTATGCTCATAAAATACTTAACCTTTCTAAGAATGAAACGAAAACTGATATGCAAAAATATAAAATTTATGTTGATGCCACACAAATAAAGAGTCGCAACTGGGGCCATATTTAAATATTTCGTTTCATGATTTTTAACTCTGAGAGGAAAAATTAATTAGCAGATTTAACGATCATAAATTAAGTGCCCGTTAGAGCTAATTTAAGGACCGTTTCTCAGTGCGGCTGTTGGAGTGGAAAATTGCTAAGGCAGTTAGAGAAAATTGGAAAAGACATCGTTTCGAAAAGGATAAAGTTACTTGTTTAATTTTTTGTCGTTTAAATATATTTATTTAACGAAGGGAAAATTTGCGAGGTCCAAAGAAGCACTGAAAATCCGATTAGGCCCAAAATAATACGAAATCTTTTAATACAGATTGAATCCTTTTGTTTAGCTTAATAAAAAATGGTGACTTTTTCATGACCAAGCGAAATTATTTTTACTGTGAAAAATATGGATTCCTAAGTTAAATAGCATCAATATTTTTAAAGCCTTAGAACGAAAACCCTTACATATCTCGATTTAAAAACAAAGTGACTTAAGCCGCTTTCATAATTAGACGCAACCAATCCATGTCTAATTTAGAAAACTGTCCATGATTTTGCGTGAATATATCCTTATTAAAGTTCTAGTTTAAAAAGCTGAATGGTTGGATTTCCAATGATGCTGCACGAAAAGTGAATGCCACCATTAGAAAAGCTATTTAAATGGCAATTTATATATGCACATATATACGGGAGTTTTTGTATAGATTATTTATTAAAGACATAATAATTCTTATAAAGTATAAAAATAGTAAAAATTTAAAGCTTTTGCTTGGAGCGGATAAAGGTTAAAGGTTGTCTGGATATCTGTTATGCGGTGACGGTTTTTATTTAGTCAGCTTTGATAAACCTATATTTTAAGATGTTTGTTTTTATGACTTAGTATGAGTATTCTTAATCAAAATTCATTAAAAGATTTGTGCATTTCATTTGTAGATTTGGCTGTTGCTTGCACACTGTGCACCGTGCGGCTAAAAGTTGATTGGTACAAAAAATCTCTAAGCGTTGGTGGATCCCCAAATAAGCTGCAGCAAATAGGAGTAATCTTTATTCGAATTCACTGAGATTTGCAGTGAAGTAATTTTGTCTACTTAGCAATGAAGTTGTAAATAAAATAGCTAAGAATTAAGGATGGGCGAACTTACACGCTTACTGCATTGGGAGCAGATATATTTGATGATATTTTTGACTATCTTACAGATAACATTTTTTATTGGCATTACTAACGAATTTTATTAAAATCACGTTTCTCCTTTTTAGCTACTAGTGTAGTGTGCTTGAAAGTTGAAGCCGTATGTATATAGGCTATTTCAGCAAAATTGAACAACACTTGCATACAAAAAAAGAACAAGTGGTTTGCTGTTAACCAGACCGACATATATTTCAACCCGCTGAATCTGAATCTGAGGTCCTTGTGACTCATATACCTCCAAAACTTGAAGTAAATTGCAAATTTTAGGCCATTTTACTCGTTTTTAACTCGAAATTTGGGAGGTGTATGAGTCAAATGGATCAAAATACATGTTGGTAGGTGGGTTTGGTTAAACACACCGACCACTTTTTTTTTTGTGTGCGGTCTGCCATATTCGCGAAGTGTAGAACTGGTAAAAAAATTGATGAAGCCATCGACAGTATCTGTGCTTTTAAATTCGTGCCATCATTAATGACGTCTGTTTGAATGCCCTATTCTCGTCGCATTCAAAAAAAAAATAAGTCTATGTAAAACAGTGAGATATCTTTCCCAGGGACTGATTAAACTACCCTCATAAAATATAGTATTGCTCTCGATATTTCCCCTTTAATTTCAAGAAATATACAAGTTATAGAAAATGTTGTCAAATTGAGAGCAAATATGTCGAAGTAAGCTTGGATATAGTATGCAAAATTTCGAATTGGTGCATACTCTACCCTACACACACCACTGCGTATACGTAACAATTTACATTTATGTATTTTGTAAATAAGTAAATACAAAGCAAGCAAATTAAGTTCAACAGATTTGCATTGTTTTGGGCTGTAAGCAATAAAAATCTATAGAATTTATTGCATGCGTTTTGTGATGGCGCAATAAAAGCACTCTCTCTACTCTTTGTAAATATGTATATTCGGCTGTCGAGCACGCTTTTGTGGGGGACGCTGATGATTTAATGTTTACTCAACAATAAAGCTTCATTTACATTTAAACATAAATTTAAGCGACGCGCAAGCAAATTTATATGCGCCACTGTAACAGGCTTGACAAATTACTATCAATCATAAATATTATGCCGCAGTATTTGATATAAACAAATTGAGTGAACGCTGTCAGTGGGTTAACTGCTTGTGAAAATTTATATCGGGTCATTTAAAGGAGGAAAAAACACTTACATAAAAACTCACATAAATACATAAATGAGTAAATATATACATATATTTTTTATGTACTAAGTATACATATGATATGTAAGCTGAATTTGTTAGCATTTTGTAATTTCCGCATTTCCACACTCGTACTTACCGTCATGCGAATCGTAGAGATAAATTATTTTACGCCATCCATAAAATTGTATTGTATCGATGATCGCCTGATGATAATCCGGACGCATACTTATGGCATAGTCGAGGAAACCGGACGAGGGCGTCAGCACCTAACGAGCGCAGACGAAATGAAAGTCGCAGGGAAAAAGTGAAAAGTACAAAAGGAATGAAATGAAATGAAATGAAACAAAAGCAGATTGTGGTATAAATTGAAATCGTGTGACAGTGGCGAGTGTACGAATGTGCAAAAAGCGATGGCGCATAAAAGCTGTGTGACAGCACGGCGAGGAGCGAAATAT